GCCCAACCCTCCACCTTTGCGTGGGTTCGGGACAGACAGTAACTCTAGAAGAGCTATAGGCGAAGTTAATGCTAAATTTACATTAAGTTTATTTGCATTTCAATAATAACAACAGAATGACAACCACTATCCACATATAAGTTCCCTGAATGACTTTGTCTAAAATAATTATAATGCAGTAAACAAAGTAAAATAGAGGAATTTTTTAATTATTAAACTTCTGTGACTATATTAAAGATTTAAATAAAAACGTCAGTCAATCGGTCAGCTACAACGTAGGACCAGGCACATATATACATCGGTCCAATTTGCTACACCTCATTAGCACAACAAGACGAACACCGAATTCATGGAAGTAGTTAATTCAATGGGGGCAATATATAAAAGAAAGATTCCATATAATTACATAGTACAGGAAAGAAGAATTAGTTGGTAGAAAGAAAGATAACAAAGTAATTTTAATTTCATAGTTTAAGGGAAGACAAAGAGTGTATATACCTTTGCCATTGTGATCGATTCTGAGCCATGTCATGATCTTCCATAACAAGTTTATAGTCATCATGAATTCCTAATGAATAGCTTACGTTTGAAAGTTTCAGTTGAATTGTCGAAAGCTTTTGCATAATACTTTCTTTATCAATAAGTTTATTCAAAGCAATTGTTAAGAATCTCTCTAAACAAATGTTATATGATGGTTGCAATTCATCTTCATCTGTGATATTATATCGGGGAAGTTAATTCATGTCACTTTGTACCACAAATGAAGACATTATCAGTGAATTATTTAAGTCAGAACTAACATTCAATTAGACAATGTTGTCTTTAATTAATTCACACTGATTTGTATAGAATTGTTCGCGATTCATTAAAAAATTGATTGAACATCTAGGCTACTAGTTTCTGCCCTTTAGACATTTCAATTAGTTATCTGTTTTTGCTTGTTTTAACACATCATTATGACTATTAATCGCACAACATATTCAGGTGCGTTTAATGAAAAGTTTACAACATCCCGCTATTACATACTTACTTACGCCTGTTACTCCCAATGGAGCATAGGCCACCAACCAGCATTCTGCAACCCACTCTGTTCTGGGCCTTCCTTTCCAGTTATATACAATTGTTGTTCATTCTTCTCATGTCTGTCTCCATTTCTCGGTGTAATGTGTTCTTTGGTCTTCCTCTTCTCCTTTGACCTTGAGGATTCCAAGTGAGGGTTTGCCTTGTGACTCAGTTGTGTGCTTTCCTCAATGTGTGTCCTATCCACTTTCAGCGCATATTCCTGATTTCTTCCTCCACTGGTCTGTCCTGGTTTGTCCTCTCCCACAGTAGGTTGTTGCTGATGGTGTGTACCAACGGATTTGAAGTATTTTGCGTAGACAACTGTTAATAAACACTTGTATCTTCTAGATGATGACTTTCGTAGTTCTCAAAGTTTCCACCCCATGCAGTAGACTACACAAGTCACAAAAGTGTCCAATCAGAGTCATCGTGGTCGCTGGCAATATACAGAGTAATGAACATACATTATTCAGATGTCGATTCCTGAACTCCTAGCATCTAACTGGCAATCACTCAATATATTATCATCAGGATCGACCGAGAAATAAGAATCGGAATTTTTTTGAAATGTTTTGTGCTTAAAATTCTGTATTGTATCAAAAATCTAATATTGAATAAAGCCATCAATAATAAGAATAAACAATTTTAATAGTTGAGATCGTGAGTCAATTGAAGCTAGACCACCATGGAAAATCTGGAAGCATTGGACAGACGTTTCATCCTAATTTGGGACTCCTCAACAGTGCTCATCCACTATCAACTTGCAAAAACACTTAACCAACAACTTGAGCGAATTCCTATGAATTCATTTTATTTCTCTACATATTCATTAACAGTTCCCTACTCCCGAAATTACATCATAATATAAAAATAATCAAATCAAACCTTAGTTAACATCAGTTAACATTAATACAATACAACAAAAACTATTAAGAATCTAAATAGGACAATAATACTACATTACAATACAAAATAATAACATAACAATTCGAACTTGAAGTACATTTAGTTTCTGTCTACAAAGTTTGATCATCACAATAATATTGTTACAATTCATGAAACATTCATTGTATTAACTTCAAAATTAAATTCATGAGTCAACTGAAGTTAGACCACCATGGAAAATCTGGAATCACTGGATGGCCATTCCATTCTAGTATGAGACTCCTTAGCAGTGCACACCCACAATCCGGCCTCGCAAGATTCGAACCCAGTACGTATCATTGTATTCTTCTTATATCAAAATATAGATGGTTTTGATCTCTTCTATACTCTTTTTTACTATGTTATTTAATTACTTTTGTTCAATATAATTTTTTTTAGATAAAATATAAAGAATGAATCGGTTATTGAGTAATAATCATTACTGAGATAATTAACCATTAGTATTGATCGAGTTTTATTGATTAATTTTTAATATGACCATTAGACTAAATCACTGACCATCTTAGTTTCACTGTGTTGCTGACAATTGCCAAATAGTAAGAAACGTAGGTTCAGGGTTTCCTGCTGACTATCTCCAAACACCATCTTATCTCAACATAGTGCATACACTGTCGAGTCACCTAGACTAGTGGCTACATTACAACTTGGTCGATAGGATTCGATCTGCACTAAGAAGTACCTGACATACATGACATTGATTACCATCCAGTAATCAATCAATAGTTAATACTGAGATATTTAACAAGTAGTATTAGTTGAGTTTTATTGAATAATTTTTTAATATGAACATTAGACAAAATTACTCAACATCTTAGTGCACTGTGTTGATACAAGGGTGTTAGAAACAAGTGGCAAGAAAACCTACAGTTAGTTTTTGTGGTAATTGGTAGTAGTAGTTAGTAACAAGTATGTATAATATAATCACCGGAATGACTGTTTGTATTTCGGATTGAATAGTGTCTTAAATGTTAACTAAATGTAAGTCGATAATGAAGTATTCACCAATTGGACGTTCGTAGATCATAAATTGATTGGAGTTGAAAATATTGACCAGTATATACTGAATGGTATTATGCTCATAACAATACCTTAGAGCATCAGTTAAATCCATTGTGCTATCATGAATGGGTAGTTATAATATGACCTAAACTAAGGAAATAATTGGTCGAGAAGATTTGTATCTCAGTTGGATGATTTTGATGGGGTTTTGTTCTCTGAGCTGGATGGTTTGGTCGTGGAGCTTTCATCGTTCCTCTGAACGACATCATCAGCATAAACTTCAATTAGACTTCTACTACGACCGAACCATCCAGCTCAGAGAACAAAACTCCATCGAAATAATTGGTCGACAATGATTTGCTGATCTGACGAAACATTACGAATGTATATCCATTAATTCCTATCAATTCTGCACACTAAGATAAGGTTATGTATGAATCTAGGACAGAGGAATGGATCATATCAGTAGTAATCAGTAAAGTATACATCAAACTATTCACATATTGGGAAGCTTTTATGAAAGCAACGACACTAGGACATAGTACAAGATGTTTCGGTTTCGTCATAAAACATTCGAGTAATTATTTTCATGTTCCATAGACAACTTCTATATGGATCAAAATACTAATTTGGCAATATTTTAAACAAGTTATACATGAGATTTCCCTCACTTAAGTTTCTTCAATTAACGTTGGTATTATTTCACCTACCATATAACCAATCTCACTGGAATCCGAAATTTGTGAGTGAGGTTACAGCATTATAAATGCTACCTATCTTTATAACTAGACTTCTCTATCTTATTTTGTTACATTTTATGTGATGAACACTATCAATTCGATGGACTGAATGGGAGATAACTGAAAATTTATCCTTATTTAACGTAACAGTGGTTATCTATTACGTGTTTGAACAATTGTGTGCTGAAATTGAGTTCCATTCATTGTTTAACTGTTGGTTTGGTGAAAGCTGAACTTCTCGCTAGAACTCCGTCACGAAGCTTGTCACTAAGTGAGCACATTGTAATTATTAGTATGGGGTTGTGGAGGTGGTTAAGTTTTTTTATTACGATCATGAATCGATTGATGTTAGGCCATCATTGAAGACCTGGTAGCATTGAACGGTCATTTCGTCTTAGTGTGGGACTCTTCAGAAGTTCACACCCACGATACCACCCTTGGAATTCATACGCAGGATATTCGGTCTCGCGCGCAATTTTGTGATTGGTTAAAGTTAGACATTAACAGCCTTAGATATCAGATCAAGAGTTTAAAGTTTAAGTGATTGCGCCAGAAACTGAAGGTCTTGGGTTCGAATCTCGCGTACAGTGTCACAAGTACACATCACTGAGGAATCTCATACTAGAACGAAACGGCCGTTCAGTGCTTCCAGGTTTTCAATGCTAGTCTAGCATCAATCAATTCATGATCTCAATTAAAAAAATGTTTTATGCTTGGTTTAATGTATTTTGCTGAGTTACAATTAAATCATGTGTTGAAGTTTTGATTCATGTTAAATTCATTGAAGCTAAATAATAATAATTGTAACCAAGAATTTATCATTTATGAATACCCTCCAGATCCCACGTGCAGGAAAGAATAAAATGGTGGTTGGGGGGTAGTCAACAGGAAACCCCTAGACCCAGGTTTCTTACTATTTGGCATTTGTCAGCAAAGAAAGATTAAACAAAGCATTAATACATAAACATTTAAGAAGGAACAAAGCTAATGTTTCCATATATGATTTATTAAGTTGACCTAGATTCACCTAGTCACCCATTATAATTAACCATACAAAAAGGTCATGATTGTCAATGAACCAATCAAAAACCAGATAAATATTTTAAATTAGGGGGAGGTCAAATTTTTTCAATCATTTGATTGGTTTAAAAATCTTTTATATTATTGGTTTAGAAAATGCTTTTGTTTATAATAAGAATTCATTTATCATACATTTTATTATAAAGTGGATTAAATTGGGGTGTTCAATTCTAGAATTCTATTCCATTAAGGATCTTTTATTGACTTTGATAAAAAAGAGGTAAGTCCTTTTTTTTATATTTTGACATGGTAACTAAATTTATTATTGATTTTATTGTTTTTCAATATTGTTCTTTATGAATTTCACATTTTAATTGTCTAAGAGGAAATCTCAGTTTTTGATAATTTCTTATTAATTGTTTGTGATCCTCTTTATTCAATTGTTTCGTAATGAGTTCAGTGAAGTTTATGCAGGTATTATTCTTTTTTTTCGTTCATGATCAGTAAGGAATGGTTGTACACGGGCTGGTTACTGAATGAGTTCGTAGGCTTGTAACAAGTTTTATTTTCGAGAACATTTGGTGAAACTCATGTAGAAAATATTTATGCAACTATCATGATTAGTTTACTAGGAATGTAATTTAAAACTTCATCTATATAACCAATAAATGAGTCTCTATATTTAATTTAAAGGAGCTCATTTACAAATGTTCCCTATTTTTGTCAGGAAGATTAAATAATATGTCGTCTCAAGGGGGTTTTCCGTCAAATGATAGTCATAACTAAATGATATATATATGCTTTCATAGCAGATGAAGTGATGTATGAGAAGTAAAACGCACCTTACTTTATGCCAGTGATTGTTTTATTATTAAAATGAATTTAAGATATGTTTGTTAATTTGTAAAAAAACAAAACTTGAATAGCCACTCACTAGTTTGGTTGCGTGATACATGTTCACCAGTCTTGTTTTGCCACAGTCCCATGTGGATATCATTATGTTTGCAACACTGGAGAATGTTGCGAATTTCGTGGATTAGTTGAAGTTAGACATTAACAGCGTTGGATACCGGCCAGTTCAGTGGTCTAGAGGTTAAGCGCTCGCGTGTCAGACTGATAGATCCATGGTTCAAATCTGGCAGGGGCGTGATCGTGAATGCACACTGCTGAGGAGTACCATAATAGGACGAAACGGCCGTCCTATTCTTCCAGGTTTTCATTGTTGTCTAGCTTCAATTGACTCATGATCTCAACTATTGGAAAAATTTTGTTTGCCTAGAAATGAACTGTCTTATGTAAATACTGATCTGAGAGATAATTTTTACCATAAACTAACAACAGATTCGATTGGGATTATTGCTAATCATAAGTCTCAACATTTACGAAATCTTATTGTCTACAATCTCTTCAACATCATCCATTATGTGTGCATAATCAAGAAATTCTTACGAATAAACTAGAACGAAAGATCCACTTAGCTTTCAGTGATTTTTTATGTAGAATGTATTTCAATTCATAATGGTATTTCATTTAAAATGTACATTTCAATAGCAAATCTTGTTTCTATGCGAATATCTGTATAAAATTCCATGAAGCGGCTTTTATTCCGTATTCTATATGAGATAGTCAGAAGAACAATATTTGAAAAGTCTTACTTTTCTTGTTCATGTTCTTCACTCTTTATTATGATTAGCATTTTCCCTATCTTCATTTTTAACTATGTATTATGCTTACATAAATTGTTTTATTTAGAATGGACTAATTGCATTGTATGGCTAAAACTGTTTGTAATTTGAGGTCTTTTGTAACTAACACCTGTCTGTTTGTTCCTTTTTGATTTGAATCATACAACTATGGTGTTAGTAATAAATGATCGGTTTTTTTCTCATGTGTGATTCTTTGAACCTGACAACAGTGTGATGAGATTATTGTATACTGTTCATTTGATCTCATAACTGAGATTAATTATTGTTTTGGTGAGTAACAGTAATGTTTGCTTTATGTCTATTGGTTCATTCAATGATAGAAACCATTGAAGTTTTGTCCATAGCATCATTAATTTTATTCCTGTCTAGTAGATTTTCTCACACAGATAATTGATGACTAATTCATCTATGTTTTTCTTTGAAATCACGAATCGATCGAAGTTAAATTACCATTAAAAGCTTGGAAGCATTGGATGGCCGCTTCATCTGGGGCTCAACAGTGCTTATCCACAACCCCAGAAGCAGGAATCGAACCCAGAACCGGCATCTCTAATGGAAATTATCATGTGCACCCTGGTGACTAGCTTCGGGAGGAAATGTCCCTGTGTTCTAGTGAGGAGCCGTGACTGGTGGAGTTTGACTGTGTCAGGTGTGAGCCAGTGGAAGCAATGGAAGATGATCACACGATATCGTGGATTGATTGAGATTAGAAATTAACACCGTTAGATGCCAGCTCAGTAGTCCAGGGGTTTAGTGGTTGTGTTCGCATGCGAAACTGGAGGTGCTGTATTCGATCCATGCGTGGGGGGTCGTGGATGCTCACTACTGAACCGCAGACGGAACGGCCGTCTAATGCTTCCAGGTTTTTAACAGTGGTCTAACTTAGATCGGTTCACGAATTCAGTGAAATTCAATAATCTCTACAACCCCGTACTAAACACTTCTATTTTGTCGACTTATACTTCTTGTCTGGTACGTGATTCCTATTACCTCGTTGCTAATGTATACAATATTGTTGTCATTTTCCGAAATGCGTTATCTATAATGCTTTTATGGTATTGAAATTGTTTAAATTAAGTTAGATACCCTATGGGATATTGTCACCAACCAAAGCTAGTCCTTCATGAATATCAGATCTTCAAGTAAAGAGAAGTGTAGCAGTGTTCGAACCAGGAAGTAAGAATTTCAGCATCGCTTTACAATCTATTAGAATTACATAACATAACATAGAAAACTTTCGACTTCAGTGACTGATATAATGACTTCATTTAATTTCACTTAACCTTATAATTAGCAATGATCTAAATTTTCTTCATTTATTCATTCATTCTGATAGGTCAAAACTAATACTTAGTATTTATCAGTTTCTTCTTTCAGTCTCAGTTTTAGCCTTACAAGCATTCTAATGTAAGTATAGCTAAATCTGTGATGAACAACATAGTGTTTTAAATGGTTACCGATTTTACTTCACTGTTTTTCTTTCACCGTGTTTAATAGAACTAACAACAACTATTGACCTTTAATTGCCGACCTTCACCTCACAATAATAATAATTATTATTATCGTTACAAGTGGTCTTGCATAAAAGTGAATTATTGTTTTTCTAATGAACATACATTACTTAACATAATGGCCATGTGATCATAAACTATCAAGATTTATTCTGTCATAAATGAGAGTTAACATGCTTAGATTTTGTACTATGTTAGTGTACTGATTAATGTTTGTATCCACTAATCTCACTAACAAATTAGTTGTTTCCATCTTCACTATTATTGTTGTGATTTCGGTTTATAGCATCAATATTGTGAATGACCTATTACTGATCTTTTACATATGCCCAACGATTGCCTACCATGATGGGTAGTGTTTTGTGAGGGATATAGGTGTAGGCTGGAAGAAAGCTCTAGGCGTGGCTAAACCAAAACCATGGTATCAGTGCATGAAGTTATTGACAATTGGAATTAACTATATTAATAGGTATAGATTACCTGATTACAGTCTGTGTGATTATCTCGAACCATTGGTTAGAGACTTTGAATGACATAGCTCAAAATCGTTTGAAGTAGTTCAGGTGAATCTATTCTTTTCCTTCCCCCAAGTTTTAAACTTCTGAATTTCTTCGGGTTCTTTTTTTACTTCATTGATATATATTTCCTTGAATGGTATCTTCGATGGCTAATCTTTTTAATCAACACTGCTACTATTACTTCCTGTACTATTCTGAAATTTGGCCTGACAATTCCATTTCTCTATGCTAATGGAGTATGGAACTCGAAATGATGTACATACATACCAGGTTGAACGTTGTGACTAATTGATTATGGATATTAGTTGGATTATATAAAACAGTCTTAAGTTTTCACTAGACTGGTTTTCCGTAGATGTAGAGATTGATATATCAGTCTTACAAAGAGAACATTTATTAATTATTATGATTGAACTCAGCGGAAAACATTAGACAAAATTGAATTTTTCAGTATTAATAAAGACATAAGAGATAGTCATGTCATGTCTAACTGATAGCTTCCATATCCAGATGTGTTTACATCGTCAAATAAGGGAGACACTTTTGTAGGATTCTAAGACAGGTAGTACGATAGTTACTTAATTTGAGTAACACTTTATTTCAGAGCTAGTTATACTGTCAAGCTGCTCAAACCGAATTGGGTGAATAGTACTTAAATCTGTATCTGATGAATGAGTGGTAGTGCAAAGTAAACAATATCAGGAAAAAAACTACAATGTGATTGACAAAATTTACATTACGCAGAAATGTATACTCGAAAATAAACGAATAATTATTCCTGTTCGATTTAATTTTGATGCGAGTTGCACTGTACGCCTACCTTTATGTTTATTTATTCATTTGAACACATAAATATTGGTACAAGGGAACACCAAATAGATATGCCCCACACAGAACAATGAGAATGGGAAGAGGAAAAAAGAAGGTAAGGGGCGTAAAAGAAAAAAAAGAGAACAATAGCGACCACGATACTTACGGAAAATACTACCCTTATGCCAATAATTCAAAAACTTTCAAATTACTTCACTCTTTCTATTTTGCTTGTTTGATCGAGATAATTCTCTACATAAATACGAATGTCCTAATTACATCATTAAATTATGAGTATGAGACGTGTCAGCTGGTTTTTATAGTTATTCCTCATAATATATAGGCACAAATTATAGCATAACATAATTGTAAATAATATGAATACGTATACTTAGTGTTGGTCACCGGCTTCCATGGGACTGCATCTCCTTACGATGCTCCACTGCCTTGTGGATCAGACCTTCAGGTCGAAGGCTCGGGGAGTGGCCCCCTAAGAAAACCACTTGCTTCGGTTTGGGAACCCGGGCAGTATTACAGCCCTCACACATGTCGAATGAGATTTGTGTGGCGCATATCTATTTGGTGCCTCCTTGTACCAATATCTATGTGTTAAAAATAAATAATAAATGCTTAATGTTATAAATTACACTTGCCTTTCAATATGCCAATAATTTTGAAGACCGTTTAAGTTTAAATATATAGTAATAGTAATAATATATTTCAATGAATGACCACTCGTTGTTCCACAAATATCTCAAAATCATACGTTTTATTGAATCAGTGGTTAAACACAACTCTCTCAAGTTCATTTCATCATCAATCAATAGAATAGTAATTCAGAAATCGTAAAGCGTCAGAGACCATTTCAGTTTGAGTTTCCATGAATGTAGCGCAGTGGAGTGATAGTCATACTGAACTTGATTCAACTCTATAGGAATTTTTATGTCTCTCATTAAAACTGCTGATCTCATTGAAATTTCTGTTTTCTTCAGTGTATTATCTTCAGAAATAATATTCATTCCATTTTGTGATAGTTTAGCTTGAGATTGAATTCGAGTATTTGTTGGCCAGATAATATGGTTGGTGGTGTTGTTTGGCCATCAAACGACAAATGTCGATGCCGAATTAAATGAAGGTTGAAACGTGCTGTTGTACCGAATTATCAGTATGAACTAAGTAAATTACAGTAACACAATGTGATCAATACATAGATGGTCTGCCAACTCGTGACTAAATAAATGATGGTGGAAGTTCAATTGTGGAATAGAGATTGACGATATTGATTATATGTTAGTTGATGTCTGAAGATTTTCTGTATTCCAGAGTTTGCATTATCCGTTTACATTGATTCATTGAATTCGAAGTATATTAGATCATGATTGAACGTGTTGTTAATAGTTATTCGAAACGACTGAAAACGACGTAGTTGAGATTGCTCACTGTTAACATGTTTCGAAGTGGTTGTTGTTGATGCATTGTACTGACACAGGATTGACTGTACAGTTATCAGTTGTGAACCTGTTGTGACGTGTCAATAAACAATTGATTTTGATTATCCCGTTGTTTAAGTGACTATCTGTCTAGACTCAGTGACTGAGTGACACGATGGAGTTCGAAGCAGATGGTAGTGAAGCGAACATCAATTGTGGGAAGATACATCCAGACGACCTGTCGCAAATATGATGATATTGGTGTCTTGTGTTGCACTGCCAGTTATGTTCCGTCCATTCTACATCAATTCAATTTGATGTTTGTTTTGTGTTGTGATGTTCTGATGTATGGTGTTTCACCAACTTCCTCACTTAAAACGAATCTAATCTGTTAATGACATTTGGATAACCACATTCAAACGTGTTTAACCTAACTAATAATCAATCATATGAATGTGACCTTATTGAGTTCACATCATGCTGAGTAACGCGAGTATTTAATGATGTTTGTCATGCGATTGTTCTGTTAAAATGATAATCGATATTTCGTTGAAATGCATATTGAAATATTGATCAGTGTAGATGAGTGTTACATCATTGATGAATTCTGAATGATGGTTTGCTTAGTACATCGGTGAACCGGAATCACAGTGAGCAACCTAGTAAGCAAACAAACAGTGTATATGTGTGATTGGTTTATTGATGGTTAAGAGAACTACTGAGAGGTTTGTTGTGAATAGAGAAGCATTGTTGTGGATGTTGGTTGTTACTGTGAAACATTTATATAGAATGAATGTTGATGATTCCCACTGGATTTGAGGAATAGTGTTGTGCTACTCCTATTGGACTGTTTACTTGATTGAGTTTTGATGACTACTTTGAATGACATGACATGACATGACAGGTATTGGTCAATGCAAATGATGATACTCAACCATTTAGATAAGTGAACTGATTTGGTGTTGTCTTTGGTGAATGATTGAAATCGAATGATGTGAGATTGTGAACTAGTTTGTGAATGTCCTTTCTAATTGTAATTTGAGTAATGGTTATTTGTAAGAATAATATTTCTCTCACACACATGTAATACCGATGTATTTTGTTTTTCCAAAAATTAATATTGATGATTGTTATCCATAGATAGTTTTGCTTTTTGAGGGGTAATTCATCCTTATTACATTTAATTATCTGTTATTTCGATCCCAAATAGCTTATTTATTATGTCAGTTGATGTGCAATACATGGTAAACGTTTTTACTATACACAGTGATCTTTTCGATTCGAATGTGTTTTGTTTGGAAATACTGTCGAATAATCTATAAATATTGATTGATCAGCTGAGAAGAGTTCATTAATTAATTGGGCCTTGAAAATGAAAACATGATTATGGAATCAATCCAAAATCAATATTATTGATTACCTGTATAGTTTAATAGAAATGTTATAGTTTTTCTTTTGTCAATGTAAAACAGTAGTATATTTATTTATTTTGAAATGAATCTGGTTTTTAATAGTTGATATCATGAGTTAATTGTAACTAGTGTACTAGTGGAAGCCTGGAATTATTGAACGGTGGTTTTGTCCTATTGTGGGACTTCTCAGCAATGCGCATCCATGATCCAGCCTCACGAGATTCGAACTCAGGGCCTATAGGTCTAGTGTGGGAACAATTAATCTATAAACCACTAAGCCGACCGATCTCCAGCGTTGTTAATGTCTAACTTTAAGTAAGCCACGAAATTGAGCGACACATCCACCATTGTTTTCAATGCGTTACTATCTCACAACAGACCCGGTTGAGTTCACAGAACCCCTTCTAAATCTAGTTTTAACAGATAAGAATTCTGTTTTAAAGCAAAAAATGGTATTTTTTTAAGTGTGTAAATATTACTGACTGATTTCGCAAGATCATTTCTACTTACATGCACACATATATGCATAGTGCAATAAAATAAGAGATCATCTGGAGTGTCCTATTATAAGTAGTATAAAAACTTTTCATCTAAGCTTTTAAATTTACTCGTTAATAACTTCTGTATATCTACTTAGTGATTTGTGTTTTACGTCAAATGTGTTTCTATGATATGGTATAGAAGAACATTCATACTGGTTAATTTGTAGAAGTCTGACTATTTCTGAATAAACATGAAGTTCATTTGTAGAGTTCAGTTTGTAGTGTCGGTTATTATGTAAAGTCCATATACCATATTTTAACTTCCGGACAGTTCATTCTATTCATTCTACTTAAGTCACATTCTTACCTTGTTAATTATTCGCTTATCAATCTTGAACGTTTTTGTATGAGCGCGTAGATGTGTGTACACTCCTTATCCCATTACTCATCACATGTCTGTAACTTTTGTGTAACTATAAATATTGATTAATGCTTGGTTAAAGGGGAGTTGGCTTACTCGCCATCTCCACTGCGCGTTTTGCTTTGTTCTATCCCATTCGCTTTACATACAAAATATATGTATTCAAAAGTCCATTCTTATTATTTGACTTATCTAAATCCGTTATTGACTAACGCGATTTAAGTCGATGATTATATACGAAGACAGGCGATAACAATCATTCATACGATCTTCTTGGAGTCAGATCTCGAGCCACTAATGTGAACAGCCTTTTCGACACCATCGTCCGATCTAAATGACGGTTAGATTAAGGGCCCCACAAGTTAACAAGTGGGTCAGAATTCAATACTCTCACCATTTATATTTTCGTCATAAAAATGTTAATAAACGAAAATATTAGTGATATCTTAACTATCAATTTAAATTTAAACATTAAAGATATCTCTTATTTCAATCGTTGAGATCATGAGTCAATTAAAGTTAGATCGCTTCTGAGGAGTCCCACATTAATACCAAACAGCTGTCCAGTGCTTCCAGGTTTTTCATGATAGTCTAGCCTCCAATTAACTCATGATCTCAACTATTAAAAATTACTTACAGTATCTACAAAACTACCTTCTGATATCTCTTATTCTTAAAAGAAATTCCTTTAACCTATAATTATATAAAACACATTCATAAGAAAATCTAGTTTTATTCTGTGTATGTAGTTCAGGTCATTAGTATCAAATTAGTCTAATTTTAACTGTTCCCTATAAGATTGCCGTAATTTTCTTTTGACTCAAAGTAAGTACATATCCTAATACATACTTCATGTAAATTAAGTCATGATCTTTCTTTTCTTTTATGAATAGTTCATGTTTCGTGATCGTTGAACAAAAAAAGATCATACTCCTAACATCTATCTATCCTATCTATCCATTATTTGAAATAACTGGTAAGTTGCATATTCATAAATGATCATTTATTCTTATCACTATTCATAAGAAAGTATGTACTTTTGTGAGAGGTATGCAATTGTTGTATATGTCTGTTTGTTTGTTTGGCTCTGTATTGTCAAGTGTCATATTACTTAGAGATGGTTAAATTAGTATGGCATTGAAAATAGTTAGTGTTCATAACTGTTTAGTACATGTTAATTTCAACATATGTTTACTAGTGACTGGCTTCAAGGAGTATTTCCTGGAGTTCTAGCGAGAACCAGAGAGCGGTGGAGTACAACCGGTTCTGTTGTGAGATAGGAACTCACTGAAAACAATGGTGGATGTGTCACTCAATTTGGTGGTTTAGTTGAAGTTAGACATTAACACCGTTGGGTTCCGGTCGGCTCAGTGGTTTAGAGATTAAGCGCTTGCGCGCGAGACTGATAGTTCCTAAGTTCGAATCTCGCGAGGTGTGATCGTGGATGCGCATTGCTGAAGAGTCCGACAACAGGACAAAACGGCCATCCAATGCTTCTAGATTTTCCATGGTGGTCTAGCTTCAAATGACTCATGATCTCAACCACTGACATATTCATTTTTATTAATTTCGATTCATTTCCTTTTGTATCAGAAATTTTCTGAACACACTTCTTAAATGTGAAAATCCATTAATCATAAAAATATAATTAGAAACGTACTTACGGTTGCATTTTTGTTCTCATAGGATCAAACCAAAATCAATATAATGCACTCACCTATATCCCATAACTATTAGTTTAAATCATACTTTGAAGTTAACTGTAAGAAAATTTTCTTTTCGAAGAAATCACTTATTTAATCTGTATATTCGTATTTATAATTATATGGAAAATATATGTCTATAGAAGTATGGGAAAGATTGCAGCGAACGGTATTGGGTTCGAGTCCCGAAGTGAACATCAACTCTGGGATGCAGGTGAATCCAGCCGAAGAGTCCCGAATAGGACAAAACGCTGGTCAAACTGGATTCCATTGCTAGCCACTATCCATTTTTTCTGAAAAAGCTTATGATTTCAGGCAATATCGAGGCAGTCCGTACAGAATGCACATATGCCAACGAGAGACTGATCAATTGTAGTCCTAAATAACAATGGAAAGATACAAATAGAACAACACCAAGTGAATTGTATCATAAGTTGATTCGAGACTAAGTTACGCAATAATCAAACGGATAAGAAAAGAATATAAGAATGAAAATAATTCACGGATCAGAATTATGAAAGTTAATTGTCTAGTTGACAGATATGAAGAAAACCAACAATCATAGAGTTATCAGTATGATGGGGTTGTGCAGATTATTAAGTTATTAATCGAGATATCAATATCATGAACCGATTAATGTTAGATCATCATTGAAAACCTGATCTGACATCAATCGGTTCATGATCACAATCAAAAACATTGAGTTCATAATAATAAAAACTGAGTAATAATAATAATAATCATGAAAACGTGTTGAAGGATAATCATAACTGATCACAGTTTAAAATGACAAAAACACCAATGAAAGAAAATCAATAATACCAATAAAGATAAGGAATGAAGAAACATGGGAAAATAGTCGAAACATTACTACAACAAAAGGGAATTGGAGCCAATGAAGAATGAGAGGTTGAATGCATCGCGTTTTTGCGTGCAAAGTTCGGGTTTGAGTTAGTGTATTGCCAATGCCTCAATAGTGCGTACGATTTTCATTTGACTTCATTTCGATCGAATCCCTTTGACTGTGTAGATTTTTTTATAAGAGAACTTCTTTGGAGCGTTGTATCCATAGTCGACTAAATGCTCCTGTATTGAACTAGTAGTTGTTTTGCTTTCTCTTTTTAAAAGCCATTCCGGATTTATAATCTAAGATGCGTTTAGAAAGTGATCACTTTGTGCGGCCAATGTTGCCTGATCCACATGAGCAAGTAAATTTATTGATGTAGATTGATGTGATCCAGACCAGAAGTTTATCCTTAACACATCTGTGAATCGTATACCGGCTTGAGAAAACAATTCGGAGCTTAGATGAGTAGAAATCTGTTTATTCAAGATCTCAGCATCCATATCTCTTTTAAATTCTATATTCATAAGGATAGTTTTCTTTTGTATTGTTGGTGCTTTTTACGGATGATGTCTAGGTGTTATATTACTATCGATGAATCTAGGTGGATAACCATTCCTAATGAGTCTATCAATGTTAAAATAATTCCTCATCTATTGTGTCAATAAAAAGTATTCGCCTGTTCCTTGAGAATAGAGAGTGAATTAAGTTCCAGCTATTGAAATTTGTGCACTACCCATTCCTGGTTGGTTTTCTATATATATATATATATATATATATATATATATATATATATATATATATATATATATTACCACCTCTGAATTAACTACTTTTATGAATCCGGTGTCCATCTTGTTGTGTTAATGGGTATGGCAACTTGGACCGATGCATATATGTGCCTGGTCCTACGTTGTAACTGACTGACTGACTTCTATGTATAGATCTCTGTAAAAAACTAACCTTTTCAATCGGATATCAAGAAAATGAAATTCCTCGTATGCCTCGGCTTCCAGTGTGAACTGAATTGAGGGGTGACATTATTTATTTATTTAAACACATAAACATTGGTACAAGGAGGCACCAAATAGATATGCGCCACATAAATCATTCGATTTGTGTGAGGCCTGTGATACTACCCGGGTGCCCGGACCGAAGCAGGTGATTTTCTTAGGGGACCACACCCCGAGCCTTCGACCTGAAGGTCTGATCCACAAGGCAGTGGAGCATCGCGAAGAGGTGCAGTCCCATGGTAGACGGTGACCAACGATTGGTTCATACGCCATTTGTTCCCGCAGGATACTGGAGCCAGCCCACGTGCACCATCGGTTTGGAATCCGGTTAAAGCGCCGGACATTCGCTCAATTTGGTAAACAACACACGCGGTGTGAGAAGTCAGTGAGTAGGTTTTCCCTGGCAGAGGCTTTATACGCGTGGTCGTGTGAGAGTATTTCGAGAGGGAGGGTAGGCCCACCCCACACTCAGCCATACCAGGACATTTGGGGGCATGAGGGGTGACAATTATTGAAACTATTCAAAATTTCATTGCGTGCAAAAACGCGATGCATTCAACCTCTCATTCTTCATTGGCTCCAATTCCCTTTTGTTGTAGTAATGTTTCGACTATTTTCCCATGTTTCTTCATTCCTTATCTTTATTGGTATTATTGATTTTCTTTCATTGGTGTTTTTGTCATTTTAAACTGTGATCAGTTATGATTATCCTTCAACACGTTTTCATGATTATTATTATTATTACTCAGTTTTTATTATTATGAACTCAATGTTTTTGATTGTGATCATGAACCGATTGATGTCAGATCAGGTTTTCAATGATGATCTAACATTAATCGGTTCATGATATTGATATCTCGATTAATAACTTAATAATCTGCACAACCCCATCATACTGATAACTCTATGATTGTTGGTTTTCTTCATATCTGTCAACTAGACAATTAACTTTCATAATTCTGATCCGTGAATTATTTTCATTCTTATATTCTTTTCTTATCCGTTTGATTATTGCGTAACTTAGTCTCGAATCAACTTATGATACAATCTTTTTCTATCCTTCTATAGATATTTATTTTCCATCTAATTATATATATGAACGTACGGTTTAAGTAAATGATTTCGTCGAAAGGAAAATTTTCTGTAAGAGTTTAGCTGCTTCCACTTATATTTCGTTAAGCTGAAGCTGACTTGCTATCTTGTCTCACTGTAACCCAATTGTGAATATTATATAGGCAGGTTATTACCAAGCTTCTATACATTACTAAACTCATTCATGCATTTAGTAGTCAATCAGCGCTGACCGTCATTAACCTTGACAAGTTGCAGTCAATGGTTCAGCGACCAGTGATCAGTGTTACAAGATTGAGTCATGTTCAACTTGATAGATAATTCGGCTGAGAATATGATCTCGCATTTGAATCTTTATCCTTTCTTGTTTATTATAGTATTTCCGTAGTTTTAGTGAGAAACCGTGATCTGTTTAGTTTAAGCATTTTAATTGTGATGCAGTTAGTTACTCACCAAACTCAATAGGTAGTCGCGCAATGTAAATGAATGTGATTTAGTGACGAAATGCAAACTTGTGAACTTATGGGCGCATATTTTATAGAAATGCTGAACATACCATTTGACTGCCCTGACAGATTATAAATGGTTCAAGTACAGTACCACCATCTTATATCGGAATTCTATAAAAATAAGGTTTTGCAATGAGCTTGTAGTCAAACCCCTAAAAAAAATCCACTTTGCGCTATCTGGTATTGTATAGAACACGATAGTATAATACAGATTACGTGGTGAGAATTTAAGAAACGAACATTTTTCCAATTTACATTATGAGTTGCGCAAGATCATCGATCGATCGAAGTTAGACGTTAACACCGTTGGATGTTAGCTCCTGGGTCCGAGTCCCGCATGCGGGATCGTGGATTTGCACCACTAAGGAGTCCTGTACTAGGATGAAATAACAGTCTAATGCTTCCGGGCTTTCAATTGTGGTCTGGCGTAGAACGACTTATGAATACAACTATTAAGAAAACGTATTTATTAGACTGAAAAGAAATTATTATTATTGATATTACTGAAAAACGTGTTTGTTCTCACAAATTATCCTCAATTGAACTCATTGTTTAGTCATTTTGTTTGTATTCTATACCCTTGTTTTCCTAAAGCAAATTACTGTTTTTTGTTACATTCATTGTATGTTTGTCAAGCTTTTTCAAATTCTATTGTATTAAGCCGAGTGATAAATGCTACTTGATATTCATTGTATAATTCAATATTCTGAAAATAGAACTCTTATTGTAAGCAGAGATGGATGGTTGTCATGAGTGGGATCCAGGACGCTTGTCTCCCACTCCGGGATTCGAATCTAGTGCAATTCGCTTTAAACGCTATAGGGTTATCTATTTAG